ATGATAATTTTACTTCTTCCTTTCCTATTCTTATTTCTTTTCCTTTTCTTATCTAATTGTTCTGACTAACATTTCCAAGAACTATATTTTTGTTTCCAATTTTTGTTTTTTTGTTTGTTTTGTTTTTGGGTGTAGATTTTTTTTTTTTTTTTTTTTTTGCTTTTGGCTCTTTGAGATAGGTTCTCATCATACAGTTCATGCTGTCCTTGCGCTTACTTTGTAGCCCAGACCTGAACTCTCAACAATCTCAACAATCCTCCTGCCTCAGCTTCCCAAGGGATAGGAATACAGGTGCACGCCACCATGCCCAGTGCTTCAAGAACTACATTGAATAGGAGTGGTAACAGTGGACATTCTTGCCTTGTTCCTGATTTTAGCAGGAAAACTTTCATTTTTTCATTTTTTTGTCTATTTAGCATAATGTTGCTTGTTGGTTTGTCATAGATGGCTTTTATCAGGTTGAGGTAAAGACTATTATGATTTTTCTATATTATTTTTATCATGAATAAGTGTTAAAGTTTGTCAATAACTTTTTCTGTATTGATTGAGATGATTGTGTGATTTTTGGCTTTGCTGACATGGTGTATCACTCTTATTTGCATATGTTGACCCATCCTTCCCTTCCTGGGATGAATCCCACTTGGTCAATGGGTGAGGAATCTTAAAGATGTTTCAAAACCAGGCTTTGGCATGGGTATGGTGGCACACACCAATAATCCTAGCACTTGGGAGATTGAGACAGGAAGGGCATGAGTTTGAGTACATCCTGGGCAATTTAGCAAGACCCTATGTCAAAATTTAAAAGTACTGGGGATACAGCTCAGGGAAAAGACCCTGAGTTCAATCTCCAGTATTACCAAAACAAAACAAAATTAGGATTTGTGAACTTTTTTTACTCTCTTCTAATTCTACAAAGTTTTGCTACCTATTCTTCTTCCTGTCAGTTGTGAAAAGAGCCAGGCATGATAGCACATGCCTATAATTCCTGCACTTGGGAGGCTTTGGCAGGATAACTGCCTTTAGTTCAAGGCCAACCTGGTCTACACAGTGAGTTCAAGACCAGCCTGAAGTACACAGTCAAAGCCTGTCTCAAAAAAATAAAAAAACTTTTTAAAGACATCAGGTCAGCTTTTTTTTTTTCCAAGCTAACTTCACATTTTAGACTTCCTAATTGTAAAATCTACTTTTTTTTTTTTTTTTTGAGGAACCGGGAATTGAACTCAGGTATTCCACTGAGCCATCTCCCTGGCCCCTAAAATCTACATTTTTTTATGCAACAGTCTCATTACAAGAAAGCACAGGAGTATATTTTTATATTTTAATTTTTTTCTTCATATTCTGTAGAAATTTAGTTTAACACATCAATATTTAATGGAAAATACCTGTTCCATGTTATGTCTAAGATGTTAGATATTCAGACAGTAAGGTTAAGCTGAAATACCTATGTTACAGGATAATAATATCATTACGCTTCTCTTCTGGAGGGTTAACAACTTAAGTTTGCAGACCAAAAATTAGAGAAAAAGAAGGGCTGCAAGGACAACTGACATTTTGGCCCTGGTCTTTCAAGGTCAGTGAGGACTCAGGACATAGGAGAACCTGTACTGTAACATCCTGTAACTCAATTATGTCCCAAATTTTCTGGTCAAGGACATCATGGGGCCACAGAGGAAAGTGTTCAGTGATGTAGAGTATTCCTAAGGAGAGTCACATGGAGAGAAAACATTCTCTTAGGCTTTCACAGAGAGAAAATTGGTCAAGTAATGGCCATGACTCATACACATGGCTGATATTGACAAAGGATCTACAAACTGTGGTACAGGGTTTCAGGGTAAACCATGAGGGGATCTGATTGACCTTAACCTCTACGAAGACAACAATATGCAATGTGTTAATTACTGAAACTGTCCTACTAATCGGTTTTAAAACTGTCTCACTGCTATCTGATTCTCAATAAAATTAATTAAAAAAAATTCTGTAGCACTCAATAGGTCATATTTAATCTTAATATTTATTTATAATTATTTAGCAATCACCCACCAAGATAAAAATGTGTAAATCATTAAGCCCTTTAAATTAAATATAATCCAAGAAAATAATGCTAATTTTCCATAGCTATTACACATAGTAATATAATCTGGGCAGTGATACATGCTTGTAATTCCAGTTTGTATTCCCAATTTTGGAGGATGAGGGAGGAGGATCACAAATTTAAGTATATTCAAGGCCAGCCTGGACTACAGAGTAAGACCCTGTCTCAAAAAAAACCAAAAAACACAAATGTACATAAAGAAAAAAAAAAAATCTCAATTGGTCATTTAAATAACTTCCAGTTTATTGATGAGGATTCAAGTTAAATGTTTGACACTTACCAGCAAATGGACTCTGTAATAGCTTTGCTGATGCTGCCAATATTTTTCTTACTGCTTTGTGAAGTTCTTTTCTTGCCTGCCAGGCAATCCCTAAAATGATTACAAACTTTAAATATGCACTCTCAATGATATGCTCCAAAAAGACATGCAGAAGCCCCAAATTTTTTCATAAATGCAGCATCTTTATCTTTTTATTATGAGGATCAATGCAACTTAAATCATATGGCAATACAAAGCTCCAGCTTTCAAAATAAGGTCATTCTTTAAGTCTTGGAAAATAACAAGAACACTAAAGGTATCAAAACTTCTCATGTATATGATCAATTCTATATAGGAAAATGACCCTTATAAGTAGATCGTTTAGAACTCAAATTTGGAAATACTAATGATACTAAGCTTCACTATATAAGTAAATTGTAAGAAATAGCAATAATCTATGCAACTGAAACTATACACACCATAAAAGCATGGTGAAAGATAGGAAGAAAATAGAATAACTAACAAGATAGTGTAGTGATACAGCTCACAAACCTGAAGCAGTGCAGCCTGCCCTACACAAGAACCATAAGAGGCTCACAGGCACATCCTGGCTGACAGTGTAGGAACAGGCAACTAACTGTATGTCAAGTTGGAGACTCACCAGGCTACTCACAGCTGAAGAAAATATACTCCTCTGCTCTACAGTCATGCTCCCCAAGAAACTGGGAGGTTTGTGTGTGACCTAAATATTGAGAAAAGCAATGTCCTAACTAGTAAAGACAGTTTCTTAACCTTTGTGGCTGATAATAATAAATGAGATGGTATTCATACTTATAAATCATCTAATGAGTCTTATTTGCATGAATAAATCCCTTGGAGCAAAGTATCAAGCAGGCATGGTAGTGCACATCTATTCTCACAACACTCTGGGAGCTGAGGCAGAAGGATCACACATTTGAGCCCAGCCTAGACAATTTAATGACTTGGTAAAACCTGTCTCAACTTCTACAAAATTTTAAGAGCCCAGGATGTAACTCAGTGCAAAAGCCCTGAGTTCACTCCCCAAAACTGAAAACAAACAAAATATGACCTAAATGACAAAATCTTGTTTTTGTACTTGCCAAACTGAGTGCCAGCCTCCCAACTAATACCCCCACTGAAGAGGGAATTTCAGTTCAGACTTAAACAACCAGTTAGTCTTCACTCAGTTTTAGGAGAGTTATAATTTTAGGTTAAATATATACGTTTAAAACGTGAACTTCAATTAATACTTTCGGAGGGCTAGCCAAATAGCTCAGTGGATTAAAGCACCTGCAAGCAGGCGCAGGGGTCAGGGGTTCAATCCTTAGGCCTGCCATGCTGGCCCCACCCCTGCTGAGACAGCGAATGAGACTGGGTATGGTGGTGTGCACCTGTAATCTCAGCACTTGGGAGGGTGTAAACAGGAGAATCACTATGAGTCTGATCTAGTAGTGAGACCCTAAATACCCAGTAGACCCTTCCTTAAAATATAGAGAAAAAAAAAACTTTTGGAACTGTGCTCTCAGGGTTTGCTGATTGTTAAAGTAAGCTGATTTATCATTTTAATGCTGTAACTTAAACACATTCTATTTTTGGAGATAGGGTCTCACTATGTAGTTCAGGCTGGCCTTGAACTCGCAGCACTCCTCCTGACTCAGCTTCCCAACTTCTGTGATTACAGGCATTTCCCACCATGCCCTGAAAAGAGACTCATTTTGAAATTCAGTAACTAGCTACCAATTTTCATGAAGATGAAGTTACTTTATAATGAACTTACCATGGCTTTCTTTTCTGTTCGAAGCTGTGTGCACATATATATATGACTTCATTTTTTCTGTTTCTACCACTTGAGTGTCTAATGTCAAAGACTTCTTCAGAGCCAGAATTTCATATGTAAGAAATAAAGAACCTCTTTAAAAAAAAAAAAAGCATTATCATAAATATGTGACCTAAATTAACAGAGAAGCTATTCTTTATTAAGCTTAGCATAACAAAATTTCTCCTTTATTGGAAACATAAAGAGTAACATGCAAGTGATACTTTTGTAACATGTATGTATACATACACATTTCAATTTAAAATAAAAAATAGTTGCATAATTAAGGCAAAAAATAAAATATTAACTGTACCCCAAAATCAGCCATGTTCCTCCCCTTAAACTAACTCATTTTTTCACCTCCATTGGTAATTTTTGTTTTGATTTCTGCCAGGCATGGTGGCCAACTCCTGTAATCTCAACATTCTGGAGGCTGAGGCAAGAGGACTGACATGAGTTTGAGGGCAGCTTGGGCTATACAACAAGATCTTATCTCAAAACACTAAAAACAATAGGGTCAGGGAGATAGCTCAGTAGAATAAGCACCTGACTGGCACTATAGTGCTAGTCAACTATAAAAAAAACTAAAAACAACTTATTCTGATTTTTATTACAATTTTTTTACAGTTTTATCACCTAGATTTGTAACCTAAATAATAGAGCTTAATGTTGTTTTTTAAAATTCATCTGAATGAAATCACACTGTGTATATTTTTTTATCAGCCTTCTATTTTTGTATCAGCCTTCTACTATGATGTTGCATGTAGTTCCCCAATTTATATATATTTGGTACAGAGTCTCACTACGCAGCTCAGACTTGTAGTGATCCTCCTCCATCAGCCTACAGAGCTGGGATTACAAGTATGCACCACCATGTCCAGTTTTGACGGCTGGCTCCCCAGCCCTGAATTTATATTTTGATATGGTATACAATAAATTGTATCAATTACATGTAATATCCAGTTTATCATGTGGAGATGGGCATATTCATATATATTATCTAGCTTGAATCTATTATGAACAATATTGTTATACATGTTATACACCGAGATTGTACATTTAAGTACATGTTATTCATCTAAAAGCAGAATTACACACTTTTTAATACATCAACTTCACAAGATATCAAACTTATAGGTTTCTCCCTTTCTTCAGGTATATCCAGTCTATCTTAAATTTAACATACAAAAATGTTTGTTGTATAGCCAAATAAAGATTTGTTTGGGGGCCGGGGAGATAGCTCAGTAGAATAAGTGCTAGAGCCTAAATTCAATCCCTGGTTCCGCAGGAAAAAAAAAAAAAAAAAAAAAAAATTTGTTTTTCTTCCTAATTGATACTTCCCTAAATCCAGAAACAAAGGCTGAACTCCATCTGGACCCTAAGCTCACCAACCTATGCTTTCTGCTGACCTGGGTTTCCACCCTAACACAAGAAAACCCAGACCCAGCCACACCAGAGAAACACAGAGGGTCCAAAGAATTATCATCTCTCTTGGGGATCCATCTGAGCAGGTAAGAGGAGTAATTGCTATTCTATCTTTTAATCACACTTTCCAAGAAAGACAAAGTTCTTTATTTAAAGTTGTGTGGATTTTCACCATATTCCTGAACATAGCTGTAATCTAAACAAAGAAACATTACAGAAAAGGGTACACATTTATCCTTTGCCCAGAATGAGTCAAAGGAAAACGATATCTAAATATCTACCATATCATAAAGAAATGTACTAAATTGACTTTATATTAGCAAAAAAGTACAGTACAGTATTAGACAAACATTTAGTATATATACCCTAAAAAATGAAAAATAAGTTATCAGAAAGAAGGTCAAGCCAACCATCGTACATTTCCTCTCAAGAAACATAAAATGGCCAAGATCAATCTCTTGGTCTTCTCAGTTGACCTCAATTTCCTTTCTTGGGCAATTGCAGAGATTTTCTTTTTATTAGTACTTACACAGAATAACAGGAACATGCACATAATATAGTTTGATCATTTGTACCACCACCCTAATTTTAGGATTTTAAAAATAATTTTTAATATTTAAAAAATATATTTATCAATTCAAAAAAAATACTAGTCATTTTTAGCAGCTTCACCCATGTTAGGACCTAATATAAAGTGTTATTTTACAGAGGTTGACTGAATGATACTATATGTGTGTATCAAGTGCTCTGCTCACAGCTATAACGCCAGGCAGGCAGAAATCCCAGTGTACAACTAGACCCAAGAGAAAACATTCCCCAGGAAACAGAGTGTAGTAACTGAGGATAACTGAAGTGATGTAATCGGTGATTAAATGACTTCCACTGACATTTCGAAGAGTAGTATAACAAAGCCAACTAGCATTTTACAGTTGACACTTACCCTAAAATAAGTGATCCAGTAAATTTTATTATATTTCCTTCAAAAAGAAAAGGAAAAAGTCAGTGTGATGAATTTCAATTTTTAAAGTATGAAATAGACAACAGTGTGAATCTCTACCTATTTTGTATGTACTAATGGAGTAAGTTAATGATGTTTCTATTTATATAATTAGTTGCTATTAATACATGACATCTCAGCACAAGATACAAACCAAGCAATAAGCATTGGGAGAAAAATAAAATTTATATTTATGGCTTTTCATATTCTTCTCCCCCTTTCTCCATCTCCTATTCTGCCATCCTCACCAAATCAACAGGGGCCCTAGTCCTTGTCCCACTACCAAGATGGCCAGGACTGCAGGCTTCAATTGAATGCAACTTCCAGGAAGCTCACCTCCCTTCTCAGTCCTTTTAATTAAGAACTAATTGAATAAAGAACAGGGAAGAATTCTCCCTACCACAAGCAGGACTACACTGAGGGATTAGATTTGTCAAGTGGTGACACAAAATGGCATTTTCCAAAGTAACTATGCTATCATTGGTGATTAAGTGCCAGTAGGTAGCCGTTCTTGTAACCTCTGCCAGGTTACAAGTTTATAGTAGTTCCCTATAGGAGTTCTGTCCCAGGAGAATGTTAGTCAGCTTCAATTATAAGCCTGACAAAGTGAGCCTTATCCACTGCTTGTTCTGGTCGATGAGAAGAAAAACTCCCTTCTCTGTTCCCACTTCTCTTTTATACAAGGTCAGGATTTCCTAGATAAAAGGATCTATCTTAAAAATAGATCTATTGAAAAAAAGATCTACTTTAAAGATTAAAATGGCCGCTTTTCTCCTTCCCTGAAGGGTATGTTCCCTAGTTGGCATTTTGAGAATTGTTAATATACTTAACACTTTGAAAAAAATAAATAAATAAAGATTAAAATGAAACTCCACAAAGATAGAGGATCTTCCTTAATACCATATGCTGAGGGCTGAGAAAAGTATTTACTACATGATTGATGGTCAATACATGTTGCTTATTATCAAATGAATAAAAATAAGCTAAACAGATCTTCTCATTTTACAAATAAACAGTGCTCTGAGAAAGCAAGATATTTCTTTCATTCAAGAAAAAAACCAAAACTAGACACCTTCTGTATGCCATATATAATAGTAAACAGGATATAACGACAAATTAGAAACTACTCTCACACAATTTACAGGCTACGAAAGAAGTCAGATGATAATCAAACTCAATATTGATTCTACCAAATGACAAGGAGCAGATCTAACTTGGTCTAGGATATCAGGAAAGTGGGGCTACAGCATGTTGGATGAGGCCATGAATTAAAGCAGACCCCAACCCACAGTAAGGCAAGTGCTGTTATCCTTGCTCACCACTGTATTGCCAGAACCTAAAAAAGGTGCTGGCACCATGGGCTTGGGAATGTTTGTTCATTTGCTTTTTTCTTTTTTGAGTGCAGGCTGATCTTGAACTCCCTATGTAGCCCAGACTCGCCTTAAACTCATGGCAATCCTCTTGCCTCAGCCTCCCAAATGCTAGGATTACAGGTGTGTGCCACTATGTCCAGCCGGTACTTTCAGAGCGCAAAAATTATCTGTTAAATAAGAATGCAGTGGTATGTCAATTTAGAAGGGTAAGTATGAATCTGGCAGGAAAAATAAGGGAAGAAAGAGAATTCCCAAGAAAATGATCATATATGGCTCTTGGCTTGCAAATCTGGGGTAAATCCGTTAGTATAGAAAGACATAAATCTGAGACTTTTCATGAGTTTAAAAGTTTTTGTGGCCTACTCTGGAAAACTAACCATAATGTCATCACTGTTTATATGAAAAAAAAAAAATGTGCCATTTAAAATGTACTCACGGATATCTCTCCAGTATGTACGCTTTTTTGATGAGGGCGTAGAGGTTCCCAGTCTTCTGCAACAGATGATACAATAAGCAGCCAGGGACATTCTACAGAGCAGAACAAGTACACAAATTTAATCTAGCATCTAATTACCAATACTAAGAACATGCTACCAGCACAGCAGATTGCCAATAGAGTTCAAATTTTCAAGACAAGGAAAAAAACCTTTCCTATTAAAAAATGCTTATCTCTTAAAAACAGACTTACTAGAGTAAATTTTGCTAGTGTACTTTATTTTTCAAATTGTGTCCAATTCTGAGTAGTCATATAAAACCAGAAACATAAGGATTAGAATTTTTAAAATGTGTTTCAAAAATACAAACAAGGTGTGACTGAACTACATGGCTATTTAAATGTTTAAAAATTTATTATACTAAAAGATATGTCACATTAATGCCCCTCAAACTTTTCCTCTTTGACCATTCTTGACACTTTCTGAAGCAATGAATGGTGAAGCTAAGTGCCAACCAACAGCAAGACAGACTCAGAAAAACACTGCTGTGTCCTCATTACCTTATTCAATGGTTCTGACACCGCAGGTCTCGGTCTTTCCCAAAAGCAAACGCTCTGAGTCAATTCCTGGTCAAGATATTCACAACAGTGCAACTAAGACACTCGAGAAAGGGGACTTATAGAACTACTTCCAACAGTGGCAACAACGATGGCATAAGCATGTTCACAGCAAGGGATGGTACTGTGAGGGGGATTAATGGTCATGTATCTTTTACTGTAATAAATATTTTAAAAATTTAGACCTTTGGGGCTGGCGAGATGGCTCAGTGGTCTAAAGCACCTACTTAGAACAAGCTTAGCAAAGCACAGGGACCGCGGTTCAATGCCCCAGCACCACATGCCAGCCAGCCCCGCCCCCTGGTGGGCTGAGCTGGCCACACACACACACACACACATAAATAAAATTTAAAAAAAAAATTTAGACCTTTATTGTATTTTTATCACACCACATACATGTATATAATGCAAATTTATCTTGATTACCAACAGCCTCTCAGAAATGAAAAGCAGCTTCGGTGTAGAAGAAATATTTAGAGAACCCACAGAATTATTCAGCTTTTCCCTAGCTTTTTAAAGATCATACATCAACTAATTTCCCCTCCCCACCCCCTACTTTCTTTCTGGCTTTGAGTTCATGATGTAGCCCAGGCTGACCTCAAACTCACAGTGACCCACCTACCTCAGCCTTCCCAGTGCTGGGATTACAGGCATGCGCCACTACTGACATTCCTTATAATCTCTGAAACAGCTGGTATAAAAGGAGAACAACTGCCAACTTATTTACCAACTAAACAAAGACAATCAAAATATGATGAAAGTTTCTAGAACAACTTAGTATTCTAGAACCACATTAGATTGTCTTTGCAGACTTTAATTTTCTTTTTCATTTTTCTAAAAGTGTAAGGAAGGAAGACACCTTGAGGAACTCATAAGAAATGATTCTTTGCATCACAAACTAAAAGCTTCTAGCAGTTAAGTTAGCTGGTGTACACAAACAAGAAACCCTTGTTAGAGGTAATACAAACTGTGATTCCAGCACATCAGCTGGTTACCAAGCAAACTAAATCTGTCAATAGGCAAACCTGGAAAAGCCCCCTTTGAAAGGTCACTGTACCGTATGCTCCCACTTATCTAATGGGTTGTTGCCACTTCTCTGTGAGACTTACACAATGGTTAAAAAAAAAAAGATGGAAAAACTATAATATTTGCTCACAAAATGCTTAGGTGGGTGTGATGGGCTATAAGCCTAGCACTCAGGAGGCTGAAGCAGGAGGAGCCCTACATAGTGAGACTATCTCTAACAAAAAAACAAAACTTGAATATCTGTCAACTTGTATTTTACTCTATGAATACTGCACTAAAAAATATAAAGCAAACAATATACTGCTTCTTTTAACCTTGGCACCTACTATAAAAGCACTATACAAACATCCCTCATGATTACTTCTCTCCCTTTCTAGCTACTACAGACACTATCTTTTAGCTTTATTCTCACGTCTCTGGTTACTCTTTCTCAATCATTCAACAAACATTTACTGAAGGGGGTCAGGGAGATGGCTCAGTAGAATAAGCGGTTGCGTGGCAAACACAAGGGCCTGAATTCAATCCCTGGTTCCAGAAAGAAAGAAAAGACAAGACAGACAGACAGACAGACAGACAGACAGAGAAGGGGGAGAAGGGAGAGAGGGAGGGAAAATGGGGGAGAGGGGGAGAGGAAGGGAAGGTGGGCCCTGGGAGATAGCTTAGTAGAATAAACACTAGCCTGGCAAGTGCAAGGTTCTGAGTTCAATCTCCGGTACTGGAAAAAACAAAACAAAACAAAACAAAAAACCCCACAATTTACTGAGCACCTATCACCTGCTAGGAACACAAACATGAGACAAGAATATCAATGTGGGGGGCCGGGGAGATGGCTCAGTAGAATAAGCGCTTCCCTGGCAAGTGCAAGGGTCTGAGTTCAATCTCCATGGGGGGGGGGGATCAATGTGGAGGTAGAGCCCCTGCCCTTGTTGATCTTATGAATGGGGGTGTGGGCGACCTCCACTCAGCTTTTAAATATTAATACTGCTGGCAAAGAGTGGTGGCACATGCCTATAATCCCAGCACTCTGGAAAGCTAAGGCAGGATGACTGAAAATTCAAGCCCAGCACAGGCAAGTTGTTGACACAGCAAGACCCTGGGTTTTTTTGTTTTTGTTTTTGTTTTTTTTGTTGAAAGAAGGGTTGAGAATGAAGCTCAGTGCAAAAGCCCTGGGTTCAATCCCAGTACTGGAGAGCAGGACATAAATAAACCTAAATATTTACCAGCTACTAGTGCTTGCTGTAGCCACATTTTCCTTCCGGGTTCAAATCATTCATGATGAAAACATTGTACGCATACTGGTACATGCTTTTACAAGAGGGTCTACACACTAACACTCAGACTTATTTCAGACATGCTAAAAAAAAATAGCTGTTTTTTAAATTTTGAATTTAGAGTTTAGAACAGCATTAGGTTTTCATCTGCACATAATGGTATTTCTTCCTTTTGCTCAACAGAAATCTATAGTTAAGTCTAATTATTGTTTCTTTGTGGGCAAAATAATGAACAGGTCAAGAATTTGCTCTGTAGAACATAGTGCCCAATTGAAAAACCAGTTCACCAGCAACTCAGCTTTTTGGTCTTTTGTTTTGTTGGTTTGGGTTTTTTTTTTCTCCTTCTTCTTCTCTTTTTTTTTTTTTTTTTTTCCGCTACTGGGGATTGAATCCAAGGTCTCAAGTATGCGAGGCTAATGCCCTACCACTGAGCCATGATTTTGTTTTTTGAGACATTACCCAGGCTGGCCTTGAACTTGTGGTCTTCCTGCCTCAGCCTTCTGAGTAGCTCTGCCACCATACCTAGATTCATGATTATTTTTTTTAATTTATTTATTTGTGTGTGTGTGTGTGTGTGTGTGTGTGTGTGGCCAGCTCAGCCCACCAGGGAGCGGGGTTGGCTGGCATGTGGTGCTGGGGGATTGAACCGCAGTCCCTGTTCTTTGCTAAGCTTGTTCTAAGTAGGTGCTTTAGACCACTGAGCCATCTCACCAGTCCCTAATGTTAACTTTTTTTTTTTTTTTCCAGAACTGGGGATTGAACTCAGATCCTTGCATTTGCTAGTCAAGCGCTTATCCTACTGAGCCATCTCCCCAGCCCCATGATTATTTTTTAATGCTTTGACTTCACAGTCTTGTGTACTAAGGGGTAACTGCCTTCTTGGCTTAACTACTAAGAATAGAAAAGACCTTACCTACTAGCATACTTTTCATAGCCAAACTAACCAAACTTGAGTGCATAACCCCCCTACTTCCTTTATCAAACTCTTTTCTTTTTTTATGCATTTCATACAGGGTGTATACGGTCTCCAGGGTCTCACTCTGTAGACTGGAATCATGGTGATCCTCCTGTTTTCATCCTCCCAAGTGCTGGGATTACAGATGTGCGCCACAATGCCCAGTCTATCCTTTATCAAACTCTTTCATAGTAAGTCAATATTCCCGAGCCTAAAAATCACCCCAGGGGAAGGTACCAACAAAGGACCACCCCAGCTCAGAGCCTGATGAAATTATTCACACTACCCAGTCCTCACCTACCCTATCTCCTTTTTTTTTTTTTTCTTTTTTTCTATCTCCTTCTTTTATTCCTATAAAATGCACAAGCATGGCTGTGGTCCTTATGCCTCCAAACTGACCCTGTAGTTCCCCACAGGCCCCTGCATGGAATGCCCACCATCCCCTGGGAACTATAAGTAGTAAACTCAATTTTTCAAAGCAGTTGTCCCTACATTAGTCATCTTACCATACCTAGTTTAAAAGTTACATTTTGAAACAAATTATGGGTTATTTTCCCTTTTTGTGCCTTACTTTCTTCATCTATAAAATGCAGAAGAGCCTGGGTATAATGGCGCACAACTGTAATCCCAGCATTTGAGAGGCTGAAGCAGGAGAATCACCTTGAGTCTGAAGCCAACCTGGACCATACATTAAGTTCAAAACCAGTCTTAACTATACAGTGAAGCTCCTTCTCAAAAAGCCAAAAATAAATGTTCCTACAATTCTCTATTTTATGTATCTGTGTGGGTTCATTTTTATATATCCTGCTCAGGATGTAGTGTGTGCCTTCAATCTCAGAACTTACATCTTTCTTCATTTCCACAATGCTCTTTCATGCTTAAACTCTGACCTTCATTCTTTTTTGTCCCTTCTAATATTACTATATTTTTTACTTTATCCTTCAAATTTCTACTTCTCCCATATTTTATACCTTTTCCTATCTCTGTGACATATATTAAAGTTTCTCTGAATCCATTTTCCAATTCATCAATCCTCTGTCTAGCTGCATATAGTTCACACTCTTGCTTGATCCTCTTATACGCTGTTTTTGTCTTAAAGTTCAATCATTTTGTTTTGGTTTTAATAGCTACAACTTATTCTTCTTGTAACTATATTCTTTGATGGTACCCCCCCCAAGACTATGGACCAACACAGGACAGCAGAAACATGACGCAAGCCTAAACC